GGCAAAAAGACTTAAAATAGTTCCTTTATTTCTATCCTAGACAATATAAAATTCAATATAAAATGCAAAATTCAAACAATGTATTTTCATCATAATGAAAATATATTTCTTCAAATATTCTAAAGCAGGAAGTTTGAAACCAAAATTATCATAAAACTGCTTTTCATTTAAATAGAAGTGACTGGGTGAGTACTATTTTGCATGTAATCCTATTACTGTGTATAGGCTATTAAAATAAAGCATCATATCTGTTTGTACAGTGGCACAACTTCAGGTTATAATCTAGTAGAGTTTTTTCTCCTCGTATTTTGATTCACATTCTAAAGTTCTCACATTTTCAGGGTTTACCTGTTTTGCTCACATTTATGATATTCCTTGTTGTGTTCTGATTAGCGTTTTTTTTTACAAGCTAGTCCATAACATGTGTGGGTCTCTTTTTCTCAACACGTAGGTCTTTATCACTTGCTTTGTTCCATCTTTCAAATAACTATTTTGTGAAAATCCTAGCCAATAAGACTTTTCCATAGTCTCTTGCTAACCTGATTAAATACTATACGTTTGGAATTCAAAAGAGATTGCAGGGCACTGCTCACACTGCTCTCTTCCTCCTCCTCCTCTTGGATAATCATTCAGACAGCCCAAGCAGAAGGCTATGAAAGTAATTCAGATATCTCCAGCCATGGCACAGGTCCCGATTCTCCCCATATACAGATTATTGCTGCATGCAGGCTGGGAAACTCCATACATTTCCTCCCAATTCTTCCTCAGAGATGGATAGGAAAAGCCCCCCACGTTGGCAGGGGGTTGGCCCAAAAATTCACAGACCACCAAGAACCAAGAACATCTGGTGGAGGCCACAAGAAGCAAGGCTTATCCTCATGCTGAGGCCCTGTGCCTCCACAATGCTGATAGACCGCTGATTGGCCACTGTGACACCCCTAGACCATGAGAGTGGTGGGGAGAGGGATTTACGGTGTCTAGGAGGAGACCTATGCTAGTTAACGCTGACGTACCATTTGTCTTGTGCTGGTATTCACAAAAGGTTCTGCAGTGGTTACAGCAGACTATAAAACAGGAAGGGGAGTCCTCACCAGGCCAGCTGGAGGCAAGGAACTGATGCTTAGCAAAGCCAGGGTAGGGAGGGGAAGCTTCCTTCTGCTTTTAGCAGTGAGAAAGGAGCTGTGTCCTTCCCCTCCACTACCCTGACTCTATTTTATTTTCCCACCTGAGGTTTTTGGGGGGGATGTAGCCATCACTTCAACCCTGCATCCCTCCCTTCTTTCTGGATTCCCAGACCCAGGACCCTGAAGAGAAGCCACAGAGCAAGAACTCACTCCTTAGCCTAAAAAAAGAACAGGAGTACTTGTGGCACCTTAGAGATCCACAGATTCATGCTTCCCCGACTATAGAAGCAGAGGGGTGCATCTGGCTTCAGGTTTCTTTTTGCTGATCCCTTTAGAATGGACTCCAGGTCTTTCATGTGATTATGCCAGTAAGAAGCTTCCCAGGTTGCACTTTGATTCTGAACTTTATGGGCTAAATCTAGCCCTGATGTAATGGTGATTGAGTTACACTGGGGTGCAATTTGTCCTCAGTTTGTTTTAACTGACTGTAGCTATGTCTACACAGCAAAGAAAAACCTGCGGCTGGCCCGTGCCAGCTGACTCTGGCTTTTGGGGCTTGGGCTGCAGAGCTTCTTTCATTGCTGTATAAATGTCTTGGCTCAGGTTGGAGCCCAGCTCTGGGACCCTGTTATGTGGGAGGGTCCCAGAGCCCAGGCTCCAGCTCAAGTCCCGAAGTCTACATAGCAATGAAACGATTCCGCAGTCTGAACCCCACGAGCCCAAGTCAGCTGGCACAGGCCAGCCACAGGTGTCTAGTTCCTGTGTAGACCTAGCCATAGAGACAAGATAGGTGAGGTAATATTTTTTATCGGACCAACTTCTGTTGGTGGAAGGTCCAAGCTTCTGAGCTACAGAGAGCTCTTCTTCGGGTCTGGGGAAGGAAATCAGAGTGTCTGAGCTAGGGACAGGTTGTTAAGCATATGCCATGGGGTAACACATGTGGTAGGCGGTCACTTTAAAGAAGTGGGCAATTGACGATTAGATTGGTGTGCATAAGGTGGTTGAAGTAGATAATTAGGAGTAGCAGGCAGTGTGGTGTGTTACAAACTGTTATAATGACCCATAAAATCAGTGTCCCTGTTGAGTCCATAGTTTTTGGTGTCTAGCAGAGTTATGAATTTAAGTTCCCAGGGTCACCTTTTGTAGTTGTTCTGCAGGTGTCCTTTGAGGATGAGGACTGAGAGGTCAGATATAGAGTGATCACTTTGTGAAAAGTGTTCACCCACATTTGATAGGGTTTTTTTGTCATTTATCATTTTTCTGTGTGAGTTCATTCGAGAGTGAAGTGATTGTCTTGTTTCGCCAACATAGTTGTTATTGGAGTATTTAGTGCACTAGATGAGGTACACCATATGTTGTGATAGGCATGTGTATGACCCATGAATCTTGAAAGGTGTGTTGTGGGGTTATTGATCATTGTAGCAGTGGAGATATGTCTGCAGGTTCTGCATCTGTTGTTCTGGCAGGGTCTGGTGCCGCTTTGAGTTGGTGTGTCTTGGTCTGTAGAAAGCTCGCTTTTGATAATGAGCTTGGTGACATTGGAGGGTTTGTTTGAAGGCCAGAAGAGGGGGTTCAGGAAAGATTTCTTTCAGCATGTGATCCCCATCGAATGTGGGTTTTAATGGTTTGATGATACCTCATATGGGTTCCAGTGTGGGGTAGTAAGTGACAGCTAGGAGTGTGTTGTCAGTGGGGTTTTTTCTCCCTCCTGTATTGAAGCAGGTGGCCCTTTCCATGAGATCATGAAAACAGGTGCATCTTTAGCATTTTGCAATAAGTTCCGGGCAAATTTCCCATGAGAAGTTCAGACCCTTTGTTGTTTAAAAATGGAAATTTCTCTATGGAGAGTTCTCTGCCAATGCCCACAATGAGTTAAGAGCTCTGGGTTGGGTGTAACTTTACCCACTGACACACATTGTGCTTTCTCCTTGTTACACTTTTGAAATTTGACATTTTATAGCTATTAGTCATTTCTTTAGGGATTAGCTACTACATATTATTTCTACCATTGAAATCTACCTCAGAAATGCCCAATTATGAAAGAGTTGACACTCTTAATGTAGCACAGCGCCTTAGAGACATCTTGATCTGATTATGTATTACACAGACACTCTCCTGGCCTAGGATTCAGTAGGATGCCACATACAATAGGATGACACGACTGTTTTATTTGAAATTTTAAAATTATCATCAAGTTGAAAGTAGGCTGTTTAAAAAGAGATGGATTCCATTCCCTATTATGATATATATGGTACAATTATTTCTGCTCCTTCCTTCCCTCTTTCCCCATAACATCAGAAATTATTTTACATTGTTGAGCTACATGGACTTTGTGGGCTTTTCTGTAGCCTGGAAGAAAACCATGTGACTGGCAATCCAGGTAGCCTTAACTTGCTGTCTGAACTGAAGCAGTCAGAAAGAGTTAACTCAATGTCCCAAATGTTGTAAAACAAATGCTCTCTCAAGTACCACATGCTAGCTGTAAACTTGTGATTTTCTGCCAAGCAACAGAAGGTACCTAGCTTGGCTCCATGTAGACCGTAGGCTTGACTCTGACTTTATATACACCAGTGTCTATTGGGAGCAAGTGCACGGCAGTCAGTCGAGTTCCACCAGGGTAATCTCAGTGTCAGTGAGACCAGAATTACGGCCTGCCCCTTTAATACAGTTTGGAAACTTGGATTTCTTTTGCAACTATTGTAAACACACATACACACACTGTTTGTTGTTTTTAATGTCCCCCCAGTTTGTTTCAGGACATCCCATTGAGATGACTACAATGACAATCCATGTGAAAAAGAACAGCAATGAGGAATAGAGAAAGTCAGGGGATTACCGAACCATAGTGTCTCTATGTGATTGGTTATTTAGTTGTGCTGTTTTGTTTAAAATACCTTTATTTCAGTACAAAGTCTTTTTTCTTTTTCTTTTTAAATTCCTCGTCATTTCTAGATCTTTCCGTTCTTTTCAAAGAAGAGTTATGAAGCAGGGATTTAGGCGTTGCTTAGATTTGGCAGATATTCATATGTGATAAGCTTAGGATAAACACGTTCTTCTCTATTTTTTTAAATCTCTTTTTAAGTGCTGTCCATATGACTACACTCTCAATGAAAGCCCTATTACAGATACAAAGCAGTCTTAATTACTGCAGATGAATTACTTATAATGAACAAAGCAGGCTCCAATAATGTACGAGTTGTTCTAGGAGAATCTGAAAAAAAGCAGGTCATGCTTTAACATCACTGATATAATATCTAGGTTAAGAATTGATGAGGCTTCATAATATCATCAGATCAGATAAGAAGCAGGGCCTTGAAAAGTTCAGACACAGATCTGATTCTCAAAGACTAAAAAATGTACCAGTTTTGTCTTAAAAGTGCACTTGTTAAATAGCTTTATAATGCCCTATCTGCTGCCTGCAAGGCTTTATTCCAGTGATGGCTTGTCCTTTAGCTAAATTAGAACTAGAAACAAACAGAAGCTTTAAGAGTTCAAGATGTACTATACCAGAGACAGATTTATCTTTCTGGTCATAAAGACAGCTCTCTCACATCACATCAGCAGAGCAGTTGAAATCAAAAATAATAGGAGAGTACAGACCTACATAAAAGAGTAGGACTGAATCATCTACTCCACAGAGAATATGCATTCCATTTCACCAAAGAAAATATTTCAGCATTAGCATTGTTCAGAAGCTGCAAATTAATTAGTAGTTGTAGGCAGCGATTATGCTTTCCATTTTCTCTTGATATTCTCATAAAAATGTGCAAAAAGTCTACTTTATTTATTCTATTGTGAGAAAAATCTGACATTCCAAATAAGTAATTGTAAAGCTACTAGGGAGTCAGAATAAAAAGAAATCAGAAAAGTCTTTACCTCATGGTATAGAGTAGAGTGCCATCATCTTCAAGGCGTAGAAGTTTGTTCGGTGTTGTCATGTTGTGAGCTATAGATTTTTTACCATTATGGAAGAAAGTGTCTGGGGTCCAGATCTTGCTGGCAAGCAGATTGTTAAGAGGGAGGCGTTGCATCGGTCCTTTGAATCGAAGTCTTTCATCTTTCCAGCTTTGTCGGAAAAAAACATCAATCGTGTATTCCTGACATAAAGAACCAGTCGTTAATAATGTGTCTCAAAAGAAATAATCATTTTTACAGTTATTTTAACAACAGAAATAATACTGATTTAGGATTCATATGCTATAACCTACCATTTCTGTGTCTGACACTGGACCAAAACTGGTAACGTAGATGTCTGTTTTCACCTGAGTTATTCTCTCTATAACAAAGAGACACAGACCCTGAATCAGTAATTGCTATAACAAACAAATATACACTCTGGATGTATTTCTTTTTCTAGTAATAACCACATTTGCTATTTTAGGCCAGGATTTTCTAAGAAACCAAAAAAATTTAAATTCAGTGGGATTTGGGTGTCTAACTCTTTGGCTCCTTTGACAATCCCAGCCTTAATGGTTTTTTAAGCATGGGATTTTCAGAAGATTTTAAGTGAGCTAGGAGCCCAAGTCCGATTTTTTTTTCCATTGGTGTCATAGTGGTGAGAGTAGGCTTAGAAAGTCTTCTAAAATACAAAATACATGAACATTAATAAATATTAATTGACTGTAACTCTGCCCTACAGACATGTACGAAAGACCCGATTCCTGAAAGGCATTGCTATACCCCTTTGGAAATCAATTACACCAATGCAAAATCAGAACAGTAGCATTGTACATACACATCATACTTACATCACACTGATGTAACTGACTAAACTGAGTAGGGCAATAGTGAATCAGGCCCTAAATGCTTATCCGAATGAGTGTAAAATCTATATAGACAACCCACTGCACAAACAAGGGAAGAGACAGTTGAAACATTAAGCAGTGTGTAAGAATGGTGAAATACACGATGCGGTCTGTTAGTTCCATGAGTTTCATTTGGATTTATCTTTTTTAACTTGTTTTGTGGTTATGACGTTCAGCCATGGGATTATTAATACTTCTCTGCAGAGAGGATTATGGTTCAAAGACATTTTGGAAATATTGCTTTTTAAGAAGGGACTTGGACAGATGGTGGGCCAAGTCCAGGAGAAGGGGTTCCAGGAATAGGAGCTGTGTGGATGAATGCCTGAGAGAGCAAGAGAAAAGCAGCTAGTAGATCACCTTGATCAGTGTGAGGGGGAGCAAAAGGATAGAAGAGCAGAGAAGTGAGTGGAAGCCAGGCTGTAAAAGGTCTTGGAAAGTAGAACAGGGAGATTAAACCTGTGCAGAAGGTGAGGAGAAGCCAGAGAAGAAATGTATAGAGGTCCTGGACAAAGACAGAGTAGCAGGGATGATGGATGTAATTTTAAATACTCACATTTTAAAATTGCAGATAAAGGTGCTACACAGCAGGTATACAAATACAGTTTCATCACATCTAGCTGATCATAGAAAAGGGTATTTTTTTATTTTTACCTTTTCTAGAGATTTTTGTCATTCACACTATAAAATATGTTTGATTTATTCTGCACAACTTGTACATGTTATTTCCCAATTGTGGAACTTAAAATATTTGGAAAGGTGAAGTCAGGCATCACACTGCAAGGAAAGATTATCAAAAGGAAAAACAAAAACCTATTCAACTACAGAAACCCTTAATGGTGATTAGAAGAATATGTGTCATGGGCCAGCCTGATCCAAACCCGATTTGAATCCAATAAGAGTGACTGGAAAGACTTCAATGGGCTTTAGAGAGGGCCCTCTCTTCAGGGAGACTGGATTGTCTTAGGCCGCACACAGCTAACTAAATCCTTTTTTTTTTTTTAGGGACTAGGGTATCAGATAAGATCCACAGTGTTACTGGTGCAGGGGTTTTCACATTTTACTAGAAGTAATGTGATGGTCTCACAGTGGAGCTGCCCATGCAGCCCTTATTCAGGTAAGACTCTCATTGACTTGAAAGAGAGAGTTGCCTGAGTGAGGATCGGGCCTATTATGTCAGGATTGGGCCCCGACTGAAGATTTCTAAATACTGATACAATCTGCCATGAAGTGTCTTATTGCTGCAAAATATAATTCTTTCAACAGGGTTATTTTAAATTTGTATTAATCTATTGTGTAAGGAGGCTGTGCTGTTTGATAGAGATAATTTTGTACAGTACACATAGTATATATTCACTTGACATATTTTTTCAATGAGGTCTACCAGAGACAAATAACCATTTTACCACACTGGAAATGTTATCAGTGTGGCAGACCACTCCAAGCAGCATTGGATTCTGCTCATCTATATTAAGGTGAAACACCTCTGTGGTTTGCTTTATTGTAACATATAACAATACACGTAAAGTATACCATACCGCTTTAAGAGCCAAATGCAAATAACTGAGTAAGGCTGCCCTCATTCAAAGCACAGTTTAAAGCACAGTCTTTGTGGCTTGCTTCAGCTAAGGCCTACGCAAAGTTATGAAGTCCCAAGAGCTCATTTCAGCCATGTTCCAGAGGAAAAGGACCCCCTGTTTCTCCTCCCAAATGTAGCCTTCTAGAAATTGACTGACCCATCCATCCATCCCTCTTCGGCTGACAGCACATCCCTCTTATATTGTCTGTTAAGTGGGGATTAATTAATTGCCCACAGTTGGCTCAGTCTGCGATGCTATGAATCCCTACAGTCAAGTCAAGCAGCACGGGTCCTTCTAGCAAGAAGGAGAGTCCTCTCGCCAACTTCTGGATGGTATCTTATTCCCCATCACAATCAGCCATTTGTTTACAAAGGCTTTGTTCTATTTCCATTTGGTTAGGTAGACAGAGCATGTACATTTAACAGGTTTGTTCCACTGACATATATTCATTTTACGTAGGCTTCACTGTAGTAATTACACAAGAGTGACACTAACTGATGCAATAGCAATAGAAATTCTACTGTACCTCCCAGTCCTGGGCGCAATCTATTATCATAGCCATCCAGTAGGCCATCCAAGATCCTGGTGAATATGGTAATATTATCGTTGGTGTCATCTTTCCCTGAAGCTGTTGGCATTAGTGAGAAGCTGTTTTAAATAAATAAATAAATAAATAAATAAACAAATAAAGGGAACAGATTAAAAGCTGTGCCAGTCTCAGAGGGATCCATGGGGATTGGAGACCAAACCCCTCTTCCCTCTGATTTTCCACCCTCTCCTGTAGTCTGAAGTATTCAGATGAAATTCTGCAATGTGAACTGTGTGGTTTTCCTCTATTCCTCCTGCCCCTCCTCTGCTTCTGCTTTTTGCTTTGCTGCTGGTAGTGACATATCTTGCTGTATGAGAAATCTCAGAAAATCAAAGATGAACAAGTGGCTGCTATTAAGTCATAGAATCATAGGGTTGGAAGGGACCTCAGGAGATCATCTAGTCTAACCCCCTGCTCAAAACAGGACCAATCCCCAGACAGATTTTTACCCCAGTTCCCTAAATAGCCCCCTTAAGGATTGAACTCACAATCCTGGGTTTGGTAGGCCAATGCTCAAACCTCTGAGCTATTTCCCCCATGGCAAAACTCCCATTTACTTCAATGGAGCCAGGATTTCACCCCAAATCTCCTTGGTTTCTCAAAAGCACAGCACAGAATAAACAATTCTTCTACTCTCCTCCTTGTTTTCATCAGTCGGTCTTCCCTTGCATTGAGCAAACAACAGTTATACATTGTGGACCTGATTCCACAGCCATTAGGTCGAATCATGCATTCCTTGTTCACTATAAAGTCTCATAGACTTCAGTAGACATGTCTAAATACTTCAGGCATGGTGGCCCTTTAAACAAGCAAAACACCCTCTCCCCCTCCCCCATTTCTTTAACTGTCTGCTCAAGTACTGCGGGATCAGGCCCCGGGTGCTCTATGTCAGTTTACAGACAAAGCACACCTAACCCTGTGTCCAGGGCATAAAGAAGGAAGCTATGTTAACTTCTTTTCAGGATTTTTAGAATGAAGAATATGTTACTAAAGACAATGAAAATATGGGGTCACAAGAAGAAATGGCTGGAATATTTTCACTGAAACACCTTTTTGTTTTGGTAAACAAAATATTGTTTACCAAAATGTTTTGCCTAAAAATTTTTCATTTCTTCTCAAATGTTTGTGTTTTTTTAATAAAAAAACCAGAACTCAAATATTTTTCAGTAAGAATTTTTACCCAAGACTGTTTTTGAAAATGGAAAAGACATTTTATTTTTATAGGCCTGAGTTGGGTAAAAAGGGCTCTGCCAGAAGATTCCCCAGTGTAGGCACTTGACGAACCTTCTTATAAGCCATGATATAGGGGAGCATTCAGGATGGGAGGGCAGCTGGGGACCGGGGGGGGGGGGGGGCGCAGTTCAGTGTGGGGACCATAGCAGGTAGTGCTATGGAGATTCCCAGAAATGCTAGAGCCCAGAGGGCAGCCCTGGGAGGCTGCTGTAACTTGGGCCCTGAGGGCTAAGTTACGCTAGAGGCCTCTGCAGCCCCTTATCAGGAGAGTGCAAAGCCTTGAAGCCCCCTTTACACCCTTCCCCCTGGGTTCTTAGAGGCACCGCACTGAATCTCATCCCTTGCCCAAGCCACAAGACCATCCAACCACTCTATGCTCTCCAGGTTAATTTAACTCCCAGTTCTGTCTCTTATGACCACATCTGCTCCATTGGCCAGTAACTCACTGAGGTGGATAGTGCACTGCAAATGATTAACTAAGATAATACGGCAGCTGCACCTTCAGTTTAGTTGAAAACAACATCCTAGTGAATGGAGGTAGGTAACAGAAGTGACAGAGGTACTAACTATTCAGCTGCCATTGCAGACGCAGAAGGAAAATTCCAGAAGCCCGTTTAAAACATTTAATCAGTTTCTTTTTCCCAACTGCAGCAAAAGGACATATTCAATTATTTCTCCTGATAGATGGAAAGATGAAATTTCCCTTTTTAAAAAGGAGATCCTAAGACCATTAAGGTTCATTATTTTCTAACTCACTTTTATCCCCAGCCCTTACCCTGGTCTCTGGTGAAGGAATTAAATTACACATTAAACTGTTTAATATATTATCAGAATTGTTAGATTTTAAAGCTATCTCAAAAAAGGGAAGGCTAGTTCAGAAAAGTAAGACTTCTTTTGGTACCTGGCCAACTGAATTTCTTCAGGAGAGTGCCCATAAACACCCCTCTATTTATTACACAAACTATTAATTTGTCTCTGTGGTCTGGTGTAATTCCAATCCTACTGGAAACCCCATTCTTAAAAAAGAAAGCAAGAAAGAAAAGCAGCTTTGGAATCTAAAATATTTTTCAGTGTCTAATTTACCCTTTCTTGTGAAAGTGCGTGAAAAGATTGTTGTCAAGTAACTACCAGTATATCATCACCTTATCACAAACAATCTGTCAGTGTTAACTGTCAGGCTTTGGACCAAATTGCAACAGAGACAGTGATGCTTAAAACTGTGAATGATTTACCTTTCAATGTGGATGACTGAGCATCTTTATAAAGTTTTGCATTGCTGGACATTTCTGCTGCTTTTGATGGCCTCAATTATGCTGAACTGATTGCAATATTAAATTGGTTTGACAAGAAGTATACTTGCTTGGTTTTGCTCATGTTTATTTGATCTTAAGCAGTTTGTCTCTTTTGCTTTTATCGGTAATTCTTTTACAGTCTCTTTCCTGGGTCCACTGTCATTCCAAAACCAAAATTCTTTCTTTACCAACAATTAAAGTTGCTCAGTGACAATAACATGCTTAGCTATTACATCATTTATAAAACTCAAGCACTTAAAAGTATGGAAATGAAGGCTGAAGCAGTTTTCACAGTACCCATAAAAACATTCTCACCAAATATCAAAAAAAATGTATATTTCATTGTAAAATTACAACCTTAACTCTGATCCAAAGTAAATGATTTTTTCATTAGCAATCTCAAAATATAAACTGCACGCCAGACCCTTTTGCAAAATATAAAACTGTTTGCATGTCTATGTTTGCAGTGTTGTTGTAGCTGTGTTGGTCCCAGGGTTTCACAGAGAAGGGGGGGGGTAATCTTTTATTTCTCTTTCACCAACAGAAGATGGCCCAATAAAAGATATAACCTCACCCACCTTGTCTCTCTACATGTATATGTGGCAGATATTGCAACCCCATGTAGTATCTTTGGGGAGCATTGTATTAAATTTAGGAATGGTTTATGTATGAATGTCCCCTACTCTATAGAGATGGGGGTAGGGGTCACCACAGCTCCACCATGAACTAACAACAGTGGGGTTTGGTTAAGGCAAGTCGCTGAGACCCTAAACAGCTCCAGTGAGGTACCACCACTATGAGATGGCTTGCATACACTGGTTCCAACTGCGTTTTCCAGAGACCAAGAGACAAAGAAAGAACTTGGGATAGATAAAGGCTGAGTTTAAACAGATTCAGGATCTTCCATTTGCTTCAGCAAATGGACAGGACCTTTGGTCCTAAGGGGACCTCAGCCCTTGCTGAAGGGGTAGAAGGGATGCTGGCCTATCAGACTCCCCATGCGGAAGATGGGTAGTTTTCTGGTATGTTAGTAAGTATGTGGGAACTTTTTTAGATATTTTCTCTGTGATGCTTTTATCCAAAGAATAAATGTACTTTGCAGAGAAAGAATTGTGTGGTAATGTATAACTGCTGGCACACACTGGTCATATTCTCATAGAGCAAGCTAAGCAGAGGCATTGGCTTGCTGGGGATACCACAGTACAGTATATGCCAGGGGAATGTGTAGCCTTAAAACCTCTGATTAGGAGGGAAAGAAACGTGGGTCTCCCCACCAAAGAGAGGTAACGACTGGGAGCCTGAAACCTTAAATGGGTGCCCTTAAAGGACTACAGAGGAGGAATACAGGTGCAGCTAACTCTGAAACTGTGACAGTATACCTCAGTGACAAATGTTGATCAGTATCAAATGTGTATTACTACAGTCTTCCTGTCATTCAGTATTCCATGCCTCCTTTGGATGAAGTGATCCCAAAAACATGGATTAGATTGCGGCTGCACAGAAGAAGCACAAATTTTTAAGAAGATGATATAAGCTTAGTCCCTTTCACCAAAAGACTTTTGCCAAGTCCCCAATTCCTATTGCATTCATTCCACAGCTCAACATTTTTACTGGTAGTTCTACGGATACGCAAGCATTGCACTTTTTTTTTTCAGATGGTCTTTCAAGGTTAAGGATGTAAAAAGGGAAGTTAGGAATAGGCTGTGAGTGGACAAAGGTGGAAAATAGGGTCATTTTCCCCAATGGATTGGCATTCCTTGTGAATGAATAGGCATCCATGTACCATGCTATTATATATAGGGTTACCAGATAGCAACTGTGAAAAAATGGGACGGGGTGGGGGGTAATAGGTGCCTATATAAGAAAAAGTCCCAAAAAACAGGACTGTCCCTTTAAAAATGGGAGGAATGGTCATGCTAATTATATAGAGACAAACTGAAGGGATTAGGAAAAGAGAAACAAAAACAATGAAATGCCTGATTCAGAGGAAGAATTAAAAGAGCTATGTATGTATTTGCTCCAAAGACCATGGAAGCCCATGGGAGTCTCTTCAATGGGCTTTGGATCAGGCCCTATGAGAACATGAGGGAGAACTGACAACTATCTATAAGTGCTAGAAGCATGATGACCCCAGGGAGATTTTGAAATTCAAAAAAAGAAATTTTGTTTAAAGTTGTAGAGCATAACCAGGAATAATGTGAAGGGGAGGTAAAATGAGACTGAATTTCATGAAAATCAACTGAATGATGAGAGCTACTAGATTGTGGAGTAGTATCTCATGGAGAACAAAGAAGACCCCTTTGATTAAGATATGTAAAAGTAGACTGGATAAAACACCCAGAAAATATATAGTAGAGAAAAAATCCTTGCATTGGTAGGGGGCTAGGAGTTAGTAGGGCTCATATTTTTCTCACTTACTCTGATTAAAACTGTTAGTTGATGGTTAATAACACCAACTTATTTCCTCTCAGCTGTATTTCAGAAAACCAAAGATATCCCCTTTGCTCAATTGGAGGGGCATTCTGATTGAATTG